AAAAGATTTGTCATTTCGCTGACTGATGGTAACTTCGACATCCCAATTCCAGATTTTCATAGATAGATCCTCTGGGAATCACTCTGTCCATTCGTCAGTGGGTATCAGCAATTGACTGCTCATACTTCTTCATTTTTCTTTTTTATATGCACTTTGAATTGGTGCAAGTTTTTCTTTTTATTAGTGTTTGTGTGCATGTGCCTATCTGCACATATGTGCATACATGTGGAATGTTGTGGTTATTTGTCCTTTTCATTGTTCTTTTTTTCATTTTACACTCAGTCCTTATTGTTTTGTTTTTTTTACCTTTTCTCTCTTTTTTTCTCGTCAATTATAGCCATTATGACTTCCAGGAAATCTTGGGGTCGGGATGCTGAAGGTAACATCAAGCAGCTAAGTGACAAACCTTTTATTTGTATCAATTCTATATATATATATATATACATATACACACATTTGTCATTTTGTTGCATTCTCATCCAAATTTAAATCAATTCCTTAAATATCAACATACCTGTATAGACAGGTTTATATACAAGTATATGTACAGATACAGGGTGTGATGGGTAAATTGTCACCATTTCATATGTTTAAATTTGCACATGTACGTTGATTTTTTTTGTCGACTGCACAGTATAGCAGGGTCAGTTGGACACCATCAGTGAGAAGAAGAGCACCATGACGCAATTCACTCTGCCAGAAATTTGGAAACAGCATGCTGTACTGCTTGTCATTCATGCCAGAAGCTCCAATACAGTGTGTTTGGGTGTCAATCTGAGGACAGTGCAGAGGATTCAGAAAGAGCTGGACGATATATCCAGTCAATATCATGGTGTTTGGCATGATCACTAGTCATAGTGATGTTATGCTTCCATTCATCTTCCCACAGGGCCTCACACTCAACACGGAGGCCTGCATCAAGTGCCTTGAGGAGGTAGTGTTGCCCTGGATCAAGAGGGTGATTGCTGGAATACCCTATCTCTGGCAACAGGACTCTACACCATGCCACACAAGCAGGAGAACCCAGTCATGGCTGTCAGACAATTTCTGTGATTACATCACTCCTTACATATGGCCACCTAATTCATCAGACTGCAACCCTCTTGATTATTATGTATGGGGCACAGTTGAGTGAGGGACCAATAAAATTCCTTGTAACACCAAAGATGAACTGAAGGCAAGGATTATGGCAGCATTCACCAACTTGAACAAAGAGACCTTCCAGAAGAGATGCAGGCAATTCCGAAGTCGTCTGGAGGCCGTGGTTGAAGCTAATGGTGATTTTATTGATTAAATTTACTCTTTAGTATTTCAAGATATTTTTGTGTAATTTTGGTAAATATATCTGTTAAAATGAGATGTCATTGTTATTTTCATCTTCGTGTAATTTAGACGACAATTTATCAATCGCACCCAGTACGTGTATGTATATATATGTGTGTGTGTGTGTGTGTGTGTGTGTGTATGCGTGCGCATGTCCATAATGTCTATAAATATGGGTATATATACATAAATATATTTAAGGGTCTTGAGGAAAGGTTGTAATAATAATAATAATAATAATAATGAGTGTACTTAGTAGATTAGTTCACTGACCATCTATATCCAGCAAGAATTGTTATTTACCGAGATAATTTTTAAGAGTCATACATTTTGTATGCTCCTTGTAGAAAGGGGTATAAAATTTAAAAAAAGGTTCTTTTTTTTCTCTCTCTCTCTCACAAAGATTCATTCTGGATAACACTCATACACATATACGCACATAGAAAAAGAAATTTAGTTTTAAAAAATGTCTTAAAAATGCAGTCTATATATCACCTTTTCAGTTCCATATTCAACAAATCAGAGGCCTTACAGACATCAACCTTCTCCTTAGATTTACACAGATTTTACTTTTTTTTCATTTAAATAAAAGAAAAAACTTATTTTTATGCTGGTTTAAATTGCACAATGACATAAATATTTTTAAAAAAATCAGAAACAGGCAAGAAATTAAGTTCCTAGCAATGTAAAAATTCCTTTAAATTTTTTCTTGATTCCATGACCAATCAGTCCACCATGTTGACAAAGCTTCAGCCATTTTTATAATGAAATTTAATTCTCCTAAAACTCTCTTAAAGCAAAAACAAAAATGATCACTTTTCACTCTTCTGATAATTAAAACTTACAGTAATCAGATTTTCAGCTTCAACAGCAGGAGGTCTGAAATGTGTAGAAAATATCTTAAAATCCACCAATCAAAATATATGGCTAAAAAACTAGGAAATCTAATGATATTGTCTATAATTTTGTAATTTGTTTCATTATTCAAAGAGATTTTCAAACAATTGAACTAATTATTTCTTCTGTTATTTAGTTGTTCCTGAAACACCTGAAAACTGGAGAATTGATTAATTGAAATCTTGTTGTGGGGGGGGGGTAAATAAAAATAATGACAGACTCTAAAGAAGAATCTGCAACATTGTAACTTCAGTTGCTTTCTTACTTCTTTACTGTAGCTTCTCTGTACCTTTTCTATAAATAATGTCATGGTCATTGTTCTGATGAGCTTGCCATGTTGGTACCTCAACTTAGATTTTAGGTGTAGTACTAGATTGGCAATTAGGTCTCATAACATAATTTCACTGTTGAAACCATCTCTACACTAATAATTTATTCTCCTGCCTTTTTTGTGGAAATCTCTTCCAATTTTCTCTTTACCTATCAACCATCTTCAAAAATTTAAATGTAATGTCAATCGTCTGTCTACTTGAATCCTGTTCTTTTATTGTTTCACTGTTTCTTGTACACTCAGTAACCTCTTGCAGCCTAGTAACTTTTATCGCCTTGCTTGGGGTAAAATGATTTAAAAAAGAAAGAAAAAGAATGAGTTCAATTGTTTCAAAATCTCTTTTTAAAAGGTTGAAATTAATTTCTCTCAGTTACAAAAAAAAAAAGAACAAAAAAAACAAAACAAGAAGACTCCTGATTTTTTGTTAAGAAATATTTAAATATTTGTTAAAACTTTACTTTTATAACATAAGACACTCAAAATCTATTCCATATTATCTAATGTGATACCTCAGTCCAAGGTACTTATGCTTTCCGAAACAAATGTGACATATTGGTTTAACTTTGATTCTATTAAATCCAGAAGGCCTATGACAAATTATAGGCACTGATCATCATTTCATATCTCCCTTGCTCTCTCTCTTTCTTTTCTATATGTGTGTACTCATACACACAAATGCAGACACACACACACACACACACACACATATATATATATATGTATATATATATATATATATATATATATATATATATATTTTTGTATATTTAAGGAATTAATGGATTTTATTTTTTATTCCTTCAAACGTTATTTTTAGTGGATACCTGCATTTGAGTAGAAGATGCATATTTATTTTAAACAGCATTTATTTTGTCTACTGCCCTACGTACTTGAGAAAATGTAGTAAAGAAAATGTCTCCCCTCTGGTAGGATTTGATCCCACATCCACCTTTGCAGGAGAAACCACTATGTGATCCAGTGTACTTTAACCACTCAGCTACAGAGAGCTTCAAAATCAAGCAAGGTTCTATTTGCAGGTTTCTCCAATTAAAGGGGATGCAGGTTTGAATCCTGCCAGAGGGGAGACATTTTCATTAAGTTTTCCCAAGTATAAAGATTGGTAGATGAAATAATTACTCTTTAAAATATAAAACAGATCATTTACTCAAATATGGGTATCCATTAAAATTAATGTTTGAAGTTATATATATATATATATATATATATATATATATATATATATATTTTATGTTGATTTATATTTTCATGACTCCCCCCATATATACTACATCTACCTAAGGTTGGCTTACCATATATACCAGTTTGAGGGATCTGTCCTGGTGTCTTGCTAGAGATATGAACTATCAGTATTAATTTTTTTTGTGTCAGTCATGAAGTTTAAGGAGTGTTGGGTCATGAAAACACTTTATTATACAAGAAAACTAAACCTACAATAAAAAAAAAAAAATGAAATTGTTCCAATTTGAGGCTTGGAAATTATGGCAAGCCAAACCTAAGGTAGAACTAAAAATTGCAGCCGAAGATAATATTTGGAATTTGTTGTATAATTTACAGTTCAATGATAGCATTCAGAATAAACTTTGGAAAAAATCCCCAAAACAACAACAACAATAAAAAAAAACAATGTTTTTCTTTTTTTATCATAAAATCATAGGATTAATTTATGTAAAAAAAAAAAAAAAAAAAAAAACTTTAAATTTAAGGACATTGTATATTTTTGAAAATTAAAATTCTAAAAGGAATTTCTTCTTTTAAATCTGACATTTCCATGTCTACTCTGGCTCGAAGAGCTAGTTATACATGGGAATGTATCTATTCCACAATGAAAACAATATCTGATAGAATGAGAGAGGGAGAGATAGAAAATATACAAGAGAGAAATTTTTGACATAGTTAATTTTTCTCATGTATATTTTAAAAGGTTTCTTCTAAAAATGTTCATTTAAAAAAAAAAAAGAAAAGAAAAAAGCCATCTTGGAAAAAAGAAAAAATAAAGTTTAAAAAAAAAAAGATTTTCAACCACTTTTGGCTTTGAAAGAAGTAGGAAGATTTTTGCCTGTTTGTTACAAGAATTAAAGAACAAATCAAAACTAATAAATTCCTCAGCATAAAGAAACATACTGGTTTAAGAGAATTTATAGTAGTCATAGTCATGGATTTTGTGATTAGGAGCTTAAGAACAGAGTGACTTATGGAATCACACAATGCTGAAACTTGTTGTTTTTGTAATTCGATAATTGTTTTTACTTTTTTTTTTTCTCCACTATTTGATCTTTGTAATTTTTTTTTTTACTTTTACTTTTAATTTCCAATTTTGTACCTTTCCATTTTTTTTTCTTTTTGAAATCTTTCTTCATAAAAAAGAAAAAAGAAAAGTAAAAAAAAAAAAAACAGAAAAAAATCCCAGCCTAAGTAAGGAGAGTTTTAGTTATTCCAGAACCAAACAACCAGGGATGTTGTCTCGTAAATATTGGCATAAATCTACAGCAGCACTATTACAGTTGGTCAGCTCAAGTTCCTCAAGGTTACGCAAATTGACCAATCCACAAAGGCCATGACTGGTCACTTGGGAACAGC